TACTTTTCACAGCAAAGCAAAACCTCCAAACGTCTGAATATGTGGAAGCCGTGCAGCAAAGCTGAACCTAGATACTACACAAGATCATAGCCTTTAGGCTGTGATTCTGGTTCATGCTACATGGCTGCGGGACGGCATATTGACAACACACTCTCTCGGCACTCCCCCTAAGCACCGGATGGGGCTTATCTTCTGGAGAGTGTTACAAACTGTACACATGTCCTACCGCTAAGAAAAACCTCTTAACCGGTCGGAAGACGACAGGAGCAGCTTACAGGCTCCTCGATACAAAAGCTGTAACCCTAAATCCAAACGAGGGTTACGGAGATACGGTGAGGAATCGGAGCCTCCAGCCCAGTCCTCTCAAAAGGGGAAAAGACAACGAAGTCGTGTTGCCACCCAGGGGCAACCCGGGTGGTGCACAGTGGAGCCAAAACAAACTCCAAACTACGGCACAGGGCCTCGGGGTACACGGTTTTGACCGTCCCAAGGTCCCAAATCCAATCTAGGGTCCCCAGGATCCTAGACTTCAGGGAGTGAAATTACGTGGAGCGGCGATGCCGCCGAGGTTCTCAGTGGGGACGGTACCCCGCCTGAGGCAAGGGTTGGCTTGTGAATGCCCCCCAGTGGGGCGTGCACGGTCTACTCCCTTGCACCTAACCTCCTATCCACCCCGACTCCCGCGGCGATTGCGTACCCCAGGCAGGCAATGTTTGCACGGTACGTATCGGGTTCCCCCGTTATGTCGTAACGGGCATCCTGCTGCATGGTATCGCGACGTCCAAAACCAAAGTGCAGGCTGACTGCCTACCCACTCAATCGTGGGCTCGGTGATGCATCGGGCACATGGTTCGTAGGACGACACATTGGTGCAGTGTGCAAGTTGGGAACATCCCAACCGGTGGTAGCACCCTCCGGCACTCGTAATGCACAGCGGCAGGCTAACTGTTGCTTCGGGGATCTGGCGCTGATCGTTGGGGTCGTGAAGGCCCTAGCCACGCCCTCGCCGACGAAGACCCCGACCCCCTCGGTTCCGCGGGGAATGCAGCTGCCGCGTCATCGACATACTGCACAAACTGGGTCGCCTCAGCGTAGTCCTCATACGACCAGAGGCTCGTTCCCGGGCGCGGCATCACCCTTTCACGCTCAGTCCGAACGGGTTCCGTTTGGCTCCCCCGGGCTTGGCTTCCGTTCTCGGTCTGCGTGCCTCGCGAGATTTGGCCTCGGTTCGTGGGGTTCACGGCCAGCCGCCGTACCACTACCTTAACTCCCTCCCAAACCGAAACCACAGCAACAAGCGCCACAGCCCAAAACCACCACACTTCACTTGTCTCGTCTTCACCATTGGGCTGTCCGGCTGCTCCTTGAGCACACGTGGCAACAATCAACACAGCCAGGGCCCGTCTTAGCGACTCTGTGTTGCGAATCACGGCCGCTCGATCCCTTGGAAGCGTTGCGAGCTCACACAATCGCAGGAGTAGGTGGAACCTTTCGCGAGGGAGGGCCTTAGTCAAGGCATCGGCACACAGGGATGCCCCAGGCAGATGGGTCACTACCCAACCCCTAACAACCTGCTCTTGCAACCATGCCCCTTTTATCCGTAGGTGGCGGGTACGCCACGTTCCTCCCGGGACACCACGGCCACCGAAGCTGTGTTGTCTGTGTACAACACCACTCGTGCCCTCGAGATGGGGTCGTCCTGCTCCTGCAGTAGAGCGTTTGGCGGCACCATTGCACGACCCCCTAGAAACTCATTGATCAGGGGGCAAATGGACATAACCGCCTGGCCCGAATCACTCAGGGCTCCAAGTTCCGACTCGCATGTTGACATCGTCATGTAGGCCTGCTTCTTGCTGCACCAGTTGATCGTGGCCCCGGCCCACATAGTCAGGAAAGCCCCATGTGAGCGCGAGCTTTCGGGAGCGAACGAGGCATCGCTGTATCCCTCCACAAGGTCCTCAGACCTTTCGACCTTAAGGACCCCCTCGGGGCCCTTGTCGTTGGGGGCGGACCCATACTTCAAACAAAGCTCTGGGTAGGCCTTGAGGTATCGCAAAACCTTGAGGCCTCGCTCGATAGCTGCTGCTGGGTGTTTGGTCATCCAAGCAGAGATGACTGAAACGGAGTAGGCGAGGTCGCATCTGCTGTGGGTAGACAACCAAAGCAGCTCTCCCCCGAGCTGTTGTGCTTTTTGCACTCGGCCCTCGAAGCCCTCCTTGTCCTCCTCGTCTGGGGTCTGTGGCTGCCCCTCACACGGGACTTGCAGGGGCTCTCCAACCTCATACCTCTGCAAAAGTTCCTGAATGTATCTGGTCTGGTGCACATACAATGTCCCATCAGAACCTGAGGAAACCTCAAACCCGTTGAAGGTAACTGATCCGGCCTCGGAAAGTAACACCGGCTCAGTGCACTTCCAAACCTGACACAGTTTGTCCAGCGTCTGCTGAACATGCGAGGTAGCGCCTACTGCCAACATGTCATCTACATACAGCGCAAGATACACCACAACACTGTGGTCCTCCTCACGATATACGGTCCAGATGTTGGGATCGCTGGTCATGGGCCGAACTCTCACGGGGGCTCCATCGACAGTAAAACACAGCTCAGTCAAGGTTCCGTCCCTATGCACTGACCAACTGCGGGGACTAATGGTCAGCCCGTACAGGGCCTGATGCACAGACCAGTACTTCTCCTCGCAGATGCGGTGGCGACGGAACATGGCAGGGGTCATGACTACTATCTGAACCCCGTTCGACAACAGCGGCGCTGTAAGGAATGCTTGCTTGACGTCAATGATTCCTAGATCCAGTTTCCGAAGACCTGCGAACCGCAACAGTGTACGCAGGGTGACAGCGTCAATCCCTCCGGAGTAGGTGTCGGCCCGCGACCACCGGTCGCTTCGTGCAAAGTTCCCGCAACATACGCATCGCACCTTTCGCCTTCCTTTTGGCGCCTTAATGCTGCAAATGACCTTTGCAGGGATGACCTCGCAGGGGGTTCCATCGCGACGCCACTGCTCCAGCGTGGCTTCATCCAGAGGCTTCACTGCCTTCTGCAAGCCTTCATACTCTTCCCTCATCGGACCAATCCACTCGCTGGGATCACGCTCCACAACAGCGTTCGGGACTACATGGGTCTGCAACACCTCATCGTAGGACTGCTGGAGGTCCTGAGTGGCCTGCTCCACTTGCTGAGCGGTGCTGCGAAGGGACTCCAGTCGCTCTCCACCATTGGCGGAGTCACACACAACCGCTTGCACATGTAAATTGCTCTCCCTTTTGATCAAAGCTTGAAGTCGAAGCTGACTCCGGTCAAGCTCTTCCCTTGCCGTCTCATCAAAGGCAAGAGGAACGGCGGCGGCAACCAACTCACACATCTCAACTTGGTCGCCCGGCGGCGACACTTGTGCCTGATGTAGACGGCTGCCTTCGGCTGGCACCTCAAAGAAGTCGGCATCCTCCTTGACTGGTCCTCCTTCGAGGTCCTCCCAGTCCGCAACGGGACATCCTCGGTGGATCAACTGTGCCTCCAGCAGTGACGGCGCGAGTCACAATGACTCTCTGAATGAATGAGAGACCGGACACTTGCTCTCTCAAGGCCAAGAACTGTTCTGGAGTAACTCCTTGCTCATACAGCCTGGGGAAATGGCTGGGGTCTAGTGCACCTCCAATGGTCTCTGGGCGATAGCCAAACCTTCGCCTGATACCTTGGTGCACCTCCCCTTCCACAAAGCCTCGACCTTCAGCGTATGGGACCTGAGTGGAGGCCCAATGGACGGATTCGGCCAGCTCATCTGACATCGGAAGCTCCTGAGGAAATTCGTTGAGCATCTCCTGCTGCTCGTTAACGGCTCCACGGCCTGCATGATCTAGGACAATGAGTCCCATCCCCAGCCAGAGTGCACTTGGACTTGCGCTCCCCCCTCTCCGACTTGGGTCCCTCCATCTCCAGGATTCATAGTAGCGGAGCGCTTCTTCATGCGTTGTCACCAAAGCATCTTGTAGGACCTCCCTACACCTGGACCACACTAGGTTCCCCTCACTTGCTTCCAATCTGCTGGACAACCACACGCGGGATTGAAACTCCTCACTCGGTGATGGGACCTCTGCGCCTGGACCTGAGGCCAACTCCTGCACGCTCTGGTCAAACGCTCTACCTACTGCAGGGACCAGACCACCTGATGCCTTTGCTGAATGCGCAGCGGGGACACCTGATGCCTTTGCTGAATGCACACTAGGTACACCTGATGCCTTTGCTGAATGCACAATGGGGACACCTGATGCCTTTGCTGAATGCGCACTAGGGACACCTGATGCCTTTGCTGAATGCGCCGTGGGGACACCTGATGCCTTTGCTGAATGCGCAGTGGGGACACCTGATGCCTTTGCTGAATGCACCTGATGCCTTTGCTGAATGCACACTAGGGACACCTGATGTCTTTGCTGAATGCGCACTGTCTACCCTAATCGAAGCCAACCGTGGCGGGGGACCTGGGTGAGTTTTCGGATTGGGCACTGGAACTCTTCCCACAGCCTCTGCGGACAGAAACCGGTCTTCCATTGTCATCATCGACTCAATAAAATACCACTTGGATTCTTCGTTCCCAAACGAGGCTCGGAACAGATACCCATGAAGGTTGGGTGCATCCTCATATCCAATCCTTACCATGCTATGCACCTCTCCCAACCGATCAAGCTCAAACTGAGTATTGTTTTCAGTCAGATGATATGGCTGAAACCCAAACAACCATGGCACAGGGTTTTCGTAGCCCTCCCAGATAACCTCAAGCTCAGGGGAATCCTGCCAGGACCTATTCCTAGCTAGGTACATTGAAAGGGCAAATGCAGAGAGGGGACTGTCCCTCACATGGTTGAGGTCGCCATAAATGTGTCCCACTCTGATCTCTCTCCACTCGGAGCGTGGTCTCCGCACTCCCCGTCTTCGAGCCTGCTCGGCTTGTTCATCATTCAGCACAGTAAACCGCTGTCTCCACACAGGGGTCTGCATAGCCACATCCGCTCGGTTGTTCGCGTCGAGCTTGGCGACACGATGGCGGGGTTCAGTTAGGCCCTCTGCACGCGGACCTGGCACATCATGACCGGCCTTCTCCCCTTTTCCGGAGTAGGGGATTACATCCAGCTCCTCAATCTGCACTGTAGGCTCTCGCTCCACGCACTCCGGACTATCCCCGTTCCCAACTGATAGGTTACGTGGCAAAGCAAACCCGGCTTGCCTCAGCTTCCCAATGGTGTTCGGCTCAGCACGTTGGATGGCTGTGAGGCTATATGCAACCAAAATCACCCGAGAGCCCTTTTCCCAGGGTTGTGACGCATGGAACTTGCGTGGGTCTAGCTCAAAAGGCTTCAGCACTTGCAGGGGCCATGTCGTTCCCGCAATCACCTTTCCATTGTGTAGGCACCTTGAGTCACTCCCGTCTTCAGCTTGACACCAAACACCTCCCCCGGCCTCAGGAACACACAAGGGCACAAGAACATTGTTGTAACCTGGCAAATTGTTCTTGTCTCGGTGAATCGCCGAGTCGACGTTCACAAGAAGTGCCAGGGTGGTCCACTTGGACTCGGGCGCACACTCTCTCATGAGGCGGGTCAACAATGCTAAAAACCCTGGAAACAGCCTACACTCTGCAGTGATGCCCAACACTCCCCCGTGGCGGAAGAAACCCAAGGTATGGGTATGCCCCTTCTTGAACACGTCGCCTCGGCTCTTGGGACGGGCGGTTTGCAGCCAATGGCTGTCAAGGACGTAGTCCCGAAGCTCCTGCGGTGAAGCTATCGGGTCCTGTGCCAGCCTCAAAGCCTCTGAATCCTCTCTTCTGAGCATCGACGAAACTTCCCGGGCAACCCGAACGGTGCGTTTGGTTGGTATGCGATGGGAAAGGGTCGGGACTGGACGTTCATCAATCGGGAGATCCCGGTGCAAAGGCTGCATGTCACCTTCCTGACTGGGCATTTGCGCATCTGGTTCGAGCACTTCCGTAAGCAGTGGTGGTAATCATCAACCTACCATCACTTAACAGCACGACGTGTCCCTTAGTCACCTCAACCGACGGCGCTAAGACTGTGCCTACCAACCCCCTAGCCGCCCATCGCTGTCCCTTTCGATTCCACCTCCGGTTTCTCACATACACCTTGGTGCCAAAAGGGAGCACATTGGTGGGTGGCCCTCCAAGGGTAGCGCTGAGCCTGGACCTCATGCGGGAGGCAACATGCTGCAGGGCAAACGGCAAGTACTGATGCTCCACTGAGGCGGCGGTCATCAGGACTCTCGCCTGCCTCTTTATACGATTGATCATGCCTTCCACTCGTCCATTCTGCTGATAATGATCTCCCTC